AAAAAAAAAAAAAAAAAAAAAAAAAAAAGAAAAAGCGAGACACGGAGTGTGACGGCGCGCGAGGCGAAAACAACCCCTTTGTGCGAACCCGCGGGAAATATGCATGCCCGCATTGATATGCATACGGTGTCAAGTAAATTTGCATCGGGTATCGCGCGAAAATAGAGAACCTATCATTTGCTATGATATACCGAGAATAGTAAACGCGCCGCGGATGGATACTTTGTTACGCACACGCCATTTGCAACTGAATCGGTTCCGACCCCCGATGTGTCAATTGACTCTTGCAGAAGCGCCGAAGTGATATACTTCGTGATTATCATCGCGATAGATGAATTATTCACGTTTTTTTTTTGTTTATTGTGCGCGCGCACAATATTATCAACAATTTGCATATAATATTATTAATCATTTTCTCCTGACACTATTGTAACCTACCTTCGGCTTTGTATCAAACGTGCTAAGTCGGCAGAAGCTACCTTCGAAAATGCTTGCGCAACACAATTTGTGAGCAGTAATCATCAAATATATTTCTTGCAACAGAAAACTTAGATCTTCCACTTATTTTTCACAGATAATCGTCGGAATTTCCGTCGTGATCGTCCGTCGCGTTGTGAAGAGTGTCTCGGAGTGTCTCACCAACACCCTATCGGATCGCCTGGTGCTTTAAGTAAACGCGGATTAATTAGTGATTCGGCGGATCATTGTAGAGTGTCCTCGCGTGTGTCCGCGCGTGGTGATCGACGTGAGGCTCGCTGGAGCATGCGACAGTAAGGACCTTCTTATCGGCTCCAGCGACGTGCATGTTTATCGCCGGTGACGACGATGACTGGACTACTGCGCCACGCTTGCCGGCTCTTCGTCATCCTGGAATGCCTGTCGGTTGTTCTGCTGCTCGCCCAGAACCCCGTGGAGGAGAAGACCACCTTCGAGGCCGCTTTCCAAGGTGAGTCGCGTTTTTAGCTCGTCCCCCCCCTCAGGTGCGCGATTTATGAACTCCCGGCAAAAGTAAAGTGCTGTAATGGTCCCGGGCGGTGTGATATAACGGTCTGACTTTTGCCACGCTCGGTATTACCGCAAAAAAAAAAAAAAAAAAGAAAAAAAACACGCACACAAAGAACGATGGATCATTCCGCGAGATTAATGCGCAACACTGCGCTCTTGATTTGGACAAAAAAAAGTTGCAACGTGTATATATTGTACTCGACCGTTGTGTGTTATTTAACAATGAGACTCGCGTTAACGAAAACAATGAAAACTACGTGATGTGTATTTCTCGATACGTATCTCGTGCAATGAAAATAATTTATTATTATTGTGTATAATATAATGTAAGCGCGCGCGTGTTTCGCAAGACGGATTTGCAGTGTAAAAAAACTTCGAAAAAAAACTACCGAGAGAAAATCTATATTACGTTATAATAACATTCTCTCTGAGAGCGTTCCGATTAAGAATGAAGGGGAAGAGAAAAGAAGTCAAGAGATTATTTTAAAGCGAAGAGATAACAACTTACGGTTCGGTTTATAATGTTACAGAACAAAAACTTTGGCATATATATTTCTTTATTATCTTAAAGTTACATCGACTTCGCCACTTTAATGGAACACGTTAATGGAAATACGTCTCGTATATAGAAAATCTATATTTACTCGGCGCGGAGTTAACGACAACGCGCGTCTCTCTCTCTCTCGACGACAACGTCGTCGTCGGTGGAAAAGTTTCGCGCGGAGAATATAGAGAGATCTACGCGCGCGATATTCTCGTTATTTCGGATGAAAAAAAAAAAAATAAAAACACATCCGTACACGAAGCTTAGATCTATTTGCGGCCGCGCGCTCGTTGTTCCTTATTGAAGTAGGCGAAATAATTTTTGAAGAATTTTCTCGCGGGGCGCGAACATTCCGCGACGCGCGAACTGAAATTTGCGAGTCGAGCGAGCGAGATGAAGGGGAACAAAAAAAAAAAAAAAAAGGACCGAGTCGGCGAAATATTTTACGCGAGTCTGCGAAATAACGCGACCGCGCCGACTGTATCCAGTTAATTGTAGCCTTCGTATCGATCGTCACGAGAGCGCGCGCGATAATGTTCACAAATTTCCAAGCTGCCGTGTGCAAACACTTTCGACCGCCGCTTGCTGGCGACGACCGGCTTTTGCTTTCACAGCGTACGTGCATTTGAATATTCAGGATACTCCGGAATTTAGCAAATAATGTCTTTTTCGTACGACGCGTCAATATATGTGTGCGCGCATGTATTTCATACGTAAATATCTGACATTATATTTATACGATTCGGTCAGAACTGCGCGATAACGCGTTAGTCGCGCGATTAGCCAAGCTTTTAATCAACTTTTTAATCAGCGCGAGTTGACCGTCGGTTCTCTCCGCACGTTCGTTTCAAAGATTTTAAGAAGCTTTAAAGATAGCGCACATAATTAATAAATTAATAAATCCATTAATATATAAAATAATCTCTTTCTTTCTTTCTCTCTCTATCTCTATCTCTATCTCTATCTCTCTATAAAAGAGAGAGATTTAATAAAATCTCTATAGTATAAAATTATACCGTTGAGAGAGATGAGGTTGTTCTAACACACACACATACGTCGGTTTTACATATAATGTAATTCCACGCAACGATATCATTGCGACGTGCGCGGTTGAGCCGCACGGTAGAAATAACGATATCGAGACTGTATATACGTTATGCATGCGTTAAATTGAATTATATGTGACCCGTTGAAATGAATTGAATTCCGGAAAGGCCGGCGTTTATTCCGCGCGCGGAACTATTCGGTGGATTCGTTGCGGCCGTGCAAGTATTTATGCAACATTTAACGATCGATTAATGCGCGGGACCGCACATACACACACACACACGCGAGAAATCGATACACCCCCGGTCCCCGCCAAAAGCCATTAGAGCTTTATATTTCCGCCATTTTCTGCGATCGACATCGAAGGTCCGGTATATGTGCGCGCGTTGTGCGTCGCGAAGTATTCCTCCCGTTCTGGGGAGGACGTATCCTCTCCGACTGCCAATATTCCAATGGCAATAACGCGAATAATGTCCGACCGATTTTTCATTGGGAATAAATGCGCAGGATGCGTCAACGCCCGTTTGCACGAAACAAACTGGGCGTTTTATTTATTATTTCGCCTCGCCCGTAATCGAAGGGGGCCGTATTTTCACGTTTAGAACGAAATTGATAATGAACAATGTGCTCTTGTGGGAGGGGACACAAGCGCTTGCGCGCCACAAATGTCTCAATACTGCCGGACTAAGTACGTACACAAATTTTCGAAACGCAATCAAACGAGACGCGCGCGTACCTATATATTTACCTGATTTACACCCATTGAACTTTCAATTTTCAATGTTCAATTTTCGAGAATATCGTGCGCTCGATATTTTATCGCGAGCTATTACATGTATCACACTTTAACGCACATGTACTTGGAAAATGTTCCGAACTGACTAGCGAGCGATACACAATATAAAAAAATCAAAATCAAAATTCGAACTGTTGCGCGAAATTTTTAATCAAAAATATTTCATAATTTATTTTCCCCCGAAAAATTTCTGATCTCTACGAATTTTCAAATTGTGTATATATACAAGCTTATATGCGTGTATCACAAATAATGTATTTAATTCGAATAATTCACACGTAACGTATCGGCTGTGTGAGGCCGACGTGTGCGCATCGATAAACACACCGCTCGCTGTGGTGCGTTGCGTTAGTAGTTTCTCATTCGCACAATCGTTAAACGGAATACCAGGTGTCATTGTATTTTACAAGCGCGTAATTTCCTGCGCGCGTTGCTGCAATCCCGCCGTTATTCTCAGAAAATTCCGTCCGTTTCGCGCGCCTGAAGAGCACGTATCAAACGCTCCTACGATATTAATCGCTCGCTACCATTAGCAAATGAATCCCTGCGTGCGAGAGTTCGTGCGTCGAGGGAGAGCCGTGAACACGCGCGAGAGTTCCCCGGCCCATTAACATTAACGCGTCCTTCCTGTGTGTGTACCCAACGGCGCAATTCACGCGCGCGTTCACGGTCCGGCTGTTAAGTTCGGGAAGATTTCGCGATCGACGATCAATTAAAAATGCCCGCGCGAAACGAGAAGCGAAACGGATAACCGCAGATAATAAGCGGACCGATTTGCTCGTAACTTGAAGATTGGCCAATTAAAAAGTACCGGGCGATCATCCGACGATGATGAGCGACGGCGGTTAAAGCCGTTAAAGGGAATAATCGAACCTGACGTCAGACGGAAAATTCTCGCACACGCGCGAGAATAGCAGTTTGTTAAAAATTAGCTGCACTTTGACGTTTTCTAGGGCGTGCGACAGAACGGTAACCGATTAAATTTGTTAATTATCGGATAATCTTTGCGGAAAGTTGTTGGTAAAATTCCATTGATTTATTTATCAAGTACACACGTATTTAATATTTCACTTTTCTTATCGCTAACGCTTCAAAATACATATCATGATCAATTGCGTTCAACGATTTTATCTGTTAATCGAACGACGTAATTTGCTCGCGAGTTTACTCGTTTGTTAAACGCTCGCAAAATACTTCTGTCTCGGAAAAGAGATTAAAATCCTTTGTCAATTTTCTGTATTACGATAAACACGTAGCGTCAGTGCTACCACACAGGCGTTGTGATAATTTGTGGAATATAAACCGCATCCGACTCTCGGATAGACTCACCTTATTTGTTATGTTTTGAAAACTATGTACACAATTTATCCGATTAGAAATTAATCCAGCACAAATTCTATTGCTATTTGAATAATCCGACTACTACAATATTCAATAATTTTCACCTCCATTAGTGTGTTCCCGTTACATTAGTTTAATTGCACTCAAGTAAATACGCACATTGGATTCTTTTTGCTTCGTGTATTACTTTTTTCTAATATTGTCTATATTTTTATTGTCTATTATATATTTTTGCGACTAACCACGCGAAAGCAATATGAACAAATTTTTTTATAAAATTATAATTTTTAATATTTATTTACTTTATTACAACTAGAAAAAAAAAACTAGAATTCAGTGAATCCCAGTTTTATCAATTTGACGAGTCTTTGAGGAACAAAATTATTTTAACAAATAATAAATAATATTGAAATAATCAATTGATACAAAAAAGCTCTAAAAAAGTTTTTAATACTTTACACTTATCTTCTTCCTTGTTAAAATAAAATCCACTCAGAACGTTTCTGTAATTTGAAATCTGAAATTCATCATTTTGACGCGGATTTGATTATTTCCGGTATTAAATCACGCGAAACAAAAACACGAGAAAATTATTCACAAGATACACGACGTGTTGAAATGAACGGAGATGAATCTGACTGATAAACTCGTAAAACTACTACGTGGACGCAACCTGCGTCGTTTTCGACAAGTGACACTAACGAGAAGGCACGTTTAGCGATTATATCTGCCTATGCGTCTGTTAGCAGCAGCGTTGTACGAGCGATTATATATGTTGCGGCATAGTAGACAATGTAGCCGCGTCGTCGCGTCGCGTCGCCTCGAATCAAACCAGGCCCCTACATTGTACTTAAGGCAATACGGCATACGGTTTGCACAGCTCGTGTGCTATGTGTACGTGTGTACGGCGCAGTCGAATCACAACCCGCATATATCAAAGCACATGTGTGCCGTGCAGCCGGTCCATTCGCTCGCACCTTCCCGTACTCGCTCACAAAAGATGCTCACACACACACACGCATACACTAATAGAGATATACTTCACTCGAGCACTTCGGAGGGTTCTTGAACTTGACTAGAATCTTGTCTTATCGCATATTCTTTGGAACATCACGGTGAAGAAAGCGAAGATACAGTTTATACACAGACAAGCGAGTGAGTATTCTTTGAATTTGATCTCTTTCTCACAAACAAGCAAGAGATTTTTATTGCAAATGTCGCGCCGGAAAAATCTCTCAAACGAATATTTCTCATTATAAAATATATTACGATAGGAGAATCGCATGTAAAATAATCCAAAAGTGACAGTGATAAAATGTATGAAAAATTCTCTATTCTCGCTCGCGACACATTTGCTCGCGTGTATTTATCTGCACGCTGCATTACCTTTCGTTTTAATTCCATCAAATTTCGAAATTTCGATATAATTTTCGTCAATTTACTTCGCGCATTTTACTCACTCCCGTGTTGTATGTACTTTGCATTCCCGCACGCTTTACAATTGCGTCCGAGTAATGAGAACTATTTCCCGAAAAAGTCGAGTAATTTGAAATTATTCCGGTTATTCACGCACAGATACACATCCGGTGTATCCGAACAAGTGGATGTCAATTCTCTCTGATCTGAAGAGTCGTTGTCTCTTCGTCGAAAAAAGGGAGCGTTCTCGAGCGTTCTTTAGAACGCTTCCTCTCAAGGAAATACAACGTGGAACTGAAAGCTATTGCACACCAAACAAAAGTATCGAAAGAACCGACGATTATGTTGAAAGCCGAAAAAAGAAGCCACGGTTAAATTAACACGCGAAACTAGCTTGATTCGATCACTCGACTTAATTAGTCCGCAATACGTATCCTTGAATTTAAGTGACTTTTGAAGAGTCGAGAGAGAGAATTTTCCAACGACTCGCACGCGCGCTTTTCATATCGCGCAACATCCGGCGCAACATCGGATTTTATTAACGCGGCATCGACAAGTCAAGTGCAACGCGCGATACCTATATTTTCCAACGTATGGGGGGTAAAATAATAATGTCCAGGGGTTTTTTTTCCCACGCGGCCAGTTTTTTTCGTAAAGTAAAGAGTACGCACGAGCGGGTCGGATATTGGAATTTTCAATGCTTGTCCTGCGCCGGGAGTGGACAGCCGCGGTTGGAAGGACGAGGTGCATCGAGGCGCAGTTAACCGCGTGATTTTCGTCGCGGAAAACACGCATGCGAGCTTTCGCGTACGCGCGTGCGCGCACTTCACGCGTTGTTGCGCGTTTCCCAACACACAGCGGCGAATTCCGCGCGCGCTTCTTCTTTCTCGACGCCTGTTCTTCGTGTGTTGTTTTATTAATCTTTTCGCCATGCAAATGAAGCGTCTCATTTCACGTGCGCTATCCCCGTATATACATACGTATATCTCATGTTGCACATCCCTTTTTGTTACGGATCATAAAACGCGAGACGTGCGCGCAATGTACACGCTGTAGGTATTTGATTTCGGAAACATCTCCTTCCCTCCCTCTCTCTCTCTCTTTGTCTCTTCAGAGGGGCGGGACCGAGAGGGATTCGCTGTGTAATTTATCCATTATGTAAATGAGATCCGCACATAAGCTGGTACGGCGACTGGTATATAAGCATACGATAAACATGCTTGTTTGTTGTTCAATTACGCTCCTAGTACCGTGTACGGTAAACATGTGAAAAGATATTCAAAAAATTCAAGGCTGCTTCTCTCTGCCGTTTGAATATTACATCGATAAAAATATTTACCCCGCTTGATGCTCTCCCTTGCTTTCTCTCTCTCTTTTCCTCTCTACAAACGAAAAAATATAGAAATATTATGTAGAATACAGCTTTGTAGAAAAATTTTCTCCCTGCACAGAGAGAGAGAGAGAGAGAGAGAGAGAGAGAGAGAGAGAAAGTAAAAATAAATATCAGTGTGTATATAAAATATTTATTACTAGTTATAGTTACTAGTTATGGTTATTACTAGTTAGCTACTAGTCATTGTTGTTATTGCTTGTTACGTTTGGAAAGTGTTCTAAGTCGTCATTTAATAACAATGTGATAATTGTCTTATATTTCCACAGAAGGAAACCAGTAACCGTCACTTTATTCGCGAAATTTAAAGAGGATATATTGTTTTTTTTTTTCTCTCTCTCTCTCTCTCTCTCTCTCTCTTCTGTTATTTATGCAAACGAGTTGACAGAGAGAAATGTGAAATATTCTTTAAAATTTATATTTACAGATATATAAACCCTCCGGTTTATTAAAACGTTTTCATAAACAGAGCGATAACTGGAATATTTCAAACTGCACACGTATCGTCGGCCGGTTTTACGTAAAGTCCACTTAGCAGGCACTTTCGTTAAACTAAAATTAAGTGCAAAATATATATGCGTGTTACGGATGCATATGTGCAAATTGAAAAGGCCGCACACCCAAATTGAATGCGCTTTATTTCCATTCGCGATATGCTCCGGTCCGAAAGACGAACTTGCTTGAAATAAAAGCGCCATAAAATTTCACTGCATTCGATGTAATGCACTTTTTATTGGATCTTTTATTCGCTCCCACTCTGTCACAATCTCTCTCGTTTTACGTAAAACATCGCGCGATGTGTCTATATGTGTGTGAATGTGTATGTCGTTATATTTTCACAAATTCTCGGGAAATATGCCATTAATGTTTAATATTTAATAGTATAACATTATCCAAACCGAAAATTGTCATGCATTTTTCTTATCACGTAGTTGCGATTTGTAACGAATTCAGACATTATTCGCAAATGCGATATATCGCGTCAACGCATTACATAAGATTTTCTTATACAAATTAAAGTATTTGTGTCACAGAGAGGCGCGCAAATTATCGCATAATTATTACGAAACATTAATTTTGCTGCTTTCTCATTTATTTTACAAAAGGGGTTGAATAAAGTTACTTGAATAAATAAAAAAAGATAGGACGTGCGTGCATTTTTTGTAATTTTGCTTGACAAAAAAAAGTCGCCAGCGCGACATATTATGCGTCACGTCTATGTAAAAAAAAAAAAAAAAAAAAAAAAACTACTGCGCAGCGCGTTGCAATAAATTTATTGCTATTCATAAAGCGTTGCTGCAGTAAATTTTAATTTAACATCAGCGACCATGTGTAACATATCAGAATTATTAGAATTCGTAATCGTGTTTGATGATCTCGATGAGTAAAAAACAATAGCGTTGACGCGATTTTGCATGATATTTGTTATATTTAATTAAACACACGTGTGTGTTTATACGAGTTTATTTTGAAGACTCGCGAAATTTAATAAATCAAATTATGTGTGAAGCAATATATTGAAAACGAAAAATGCGCGAGACAGAAGTTATTAAATTATCTAAGCATGCTCTTTCTCCTCTTTCTCTCTCTCTCTTCTCCCCTTTCTTTCTCTACGGTAAAATCCTTTGAGTAAAATAATCTCGCGAAAGTTGAGAGAAACGAGAAATTTGAGCACTGAAATTTATTACCTATGCACGTAGTATGAGGTACATAATAATATTTTATCAATTTGCGCACATAAATACCGACGCAGTGAGCAAGCTATTTAGGTCGGCATTATTCTCGGCACTCCAAGTATCTGGTATATCACAATTTCGTCTATGTTGAATATTACCTCGAGAGAGAGAGAGAGAACGAAAGAGAAAGAGAGAGAATTCTCGTGTCACGTGCAAAACGTCGATTTAATCCCATCGTGTGTCATTTCGGCATAATGCAAAATTAATTATTATCGCATTGTCGTGCATTACATGTCGTTTCACCGCGGCATACATCGCGGTTTAAGGTACTCCCGTTTGTACTTTTTACAAATGAGACGTTGCGACGCTCAATTAAACAACAAAATGACGACGGAGAGAGAAGAATTGTTTCGCCGCGCGCGGTTGCCTACAATGGCAACCGCGATGCCATTTAACCGCCGTCTATACACACTTTGTTCCGTTATTAATTCCGTGTAACTTCCATTTACGCTGCTCGGCACAACATATGTTAATAAAAAAAAAAAATAATAAAAAAAAAATGTTGATTGAATGTCACGGTATATTGCGCCGAGCACAAAGCCCTAAAATTGGCGAGATATCGCGCGCATTTACATCCACGTTCCCTTTGTACACGCACGATCGCGGAATTAACACGGATAAATAAACAACAAATAAACTTTATGAGCGCACGTATCCTCCCCTTTTCCTCTATTAATGAATTACATAAGAGATGGCGACAGTGATCTTACAATTGTTTTTCTCTCGAGTATTTTACAAACGTTCTCGCTAACACGTTCGACACGCGGATGAGAAACGGAAATTAGATTGAAAATAGCTTATCGAATAAAAACGGAGAGCGTGCAGGTGCTACTACACCTAACACATCTCGTACGCTAGAATTTTTACGCGAACCGGTCTCTCGCCAGAATATCAGAGTGTAGTGCAGTGTAAATACGCTGTTACAAGGATGGAAACGGGAAATGCGCGTACAACTCGCGTTTGCAACTCGCCGCGCGCGCGTCTATTCCGAGTCTGTTCTCTCTCTCTCTCTCTCTCTCTCTCTCTCTCTCTCTCTTTCTCTCTCTCTCTCTCTCTTCCCTTTTGTCCGCTACTTCGCTCTGCCGAATTCCCCTGATACGCATAACTTACTCACGTTCTTCGTTTTGCTCTTCTCTTTTCAGGAAGATGCGGGCACGGATCGCCATGCGAGCAGCTCTGCTACGAGCTCCACGACGGCATGTACGAGTGCGACTGCAGAGACGGCTACATACTTCATAAAAATGGATACAGCTGCGCCGGTGAGTACGAGCCGATTTCGATCACCTTATCCCGCTTTGCAATTTGCATTCATGACGGGCGACGTCTTTGATTTCCCTAATAAAATTTCGCGCGGCTGCCGCCGTCGTCGTCGCCGCCGCCCCGGCGCTTCGCAAACTTTTTGATGCAGCGCCCGTATTGTTTTCGGAACGCGTCGCTCCCGAACTACAGCGATCGTCGCCTCTTTCGCGGGGTCTCGTTTGCGATATCGAAGCGAGTTGCGGAGAGAAGCGAGTTTTCTCTCAAAGCAAAAGCGAGAAAAAATACCGCGCGTGTGTTTCTCGCCCCTCAATTGCGCGAGTAATAGGTATATCTGTTTTCGTATAATATCTCGCAGTTCTCGCACGTATCGGAAATCCATCGAAAAGTTTCGCAGAAATACGACAGTTTTTTTTTTTGTTTGCAGAGAGTTTTATACGGTGTCGCGGAAAATCTGTAAATATGTCTCGAAACTCAAAAACTCCGCGACGGGGATTGCCTCTTTCCTTCATAAAAAATTGTCTACTACTTTACGTTACTGCTTCGAGTTCGAAGAAAATCGCGAAAGTCCGGGTTTTTAAGCCAGATGTCTCGTCTCGCATCTCTTCGCGGAACGGAATTATTGATCCGGCAAAATAACTGCGAACGAGAGATACTAAAATTTTTCGTTTCGGAAACACAAATTTGTCAAATGAGAAGCAACGTATCGACAAAGTTTCGGTTTTTCTGCGACTTTATTTATATCTGAGAAACAAAAGAAAGGAAGGAAAAAACGTAAATAAATAAATATATCTCGGATACTGTTTGTAGTAATAATAACAATTTCACGACAGAGGGTGTAATAACGTCACTGCGCGTAATATTTATATTTATCGCGCCGTCGAAAAATTACGAGCGAAAACTCGAGTACAGCTTGTAGATTTATCTTGACAATTTCAAGTTCAAGCTGTTTACAGTACCGTGCCCGTATTAAAGGTAATATCTCATTTCGCGCGAGAATTGTGCTGAATACATTTCGCGTCCTTATAAAATGCGGAAAAGGAGGAAGGGACATGACCGCGCGGCATTGTGTAAGAAAAATACGGTAAAATTATCCATAAATCACGCAGAATTTTGGAGACGTCCGTGATTTATCGCCGCTCATAATCTTATGCCAAGCTTTTTCGGACTGGCAACAAAGTTGTGTTTTAAAATCCCATACAAGCGTTGTTCCGTCAAGTTGCCATAAATTTTGCAACGCCCATAATCGATGCGCGTTCCTTTTTGTTTTGTTCGAAGTGAAATTTATCGACGAAATAAACATTTATTATAAAACATTTTATTTTAATTTCAGTAAATGCGTGTTCGTTTTCGCGTTTGTTTTGCTCACGACTTTCGTCACGTTCCCGGGATTCTTCCGTGCATGTACCTGCGTAAAGTATCACAACTGATTTATACATTACGTTAATCGCGCGCTACCACGGCGCACTATCGATCCGAAAGGAATGCATTGTGCCCGTCGATGCAACTCTCGTCGCAACAAAATTACGCGATTCCGATTTTACTCAATAGACGTTTTTCTCACGAATAGAACGCGACAGGAAATTCGGTGGGAAGTTCGTCGACGATCGCCCCTTCTCGTTAATTGCTTTTCGATTTGATTGTTCGTGGAATTCCATTATTACAGTCTGTCCTCGAATCGCGGAATGCTTATCTCGGTACACTTGTGACCGAAGTTTTCCCACTGTTACTCTGGTTCTCGCGCGTCAACAACCCATTTTTCCTTGAGAACTCGAACAAACAGGAATGCGACTCTTACTGTGCGTTTCGCCTCTCCAGCGAGATCGGATTTTAAAGAGAACAAGCGTCTCTGTACGTATCAAAGTAAAATCTACATACACATATTTGAAAATTGTAGAATAAAAATTATTCTTCGGATAAAAACTATTCTTCAAAATTTTTCTCAAAAATAATCGTGACCTAAAAAATTAAATCAAAACTATATAATAACTTTGATATGAGATTGTCAACAATTAGAATACTTAAATAATAAAAGCAGAGAACGCAAACATTTATATTTTTAAATATATTATGGGTGCAATTTGTAGCGTTGAATTCAATAATTTCAACCTGACGTTTACCAGATATTGTAAGGAAACATTTTTATGTAATTTGCGCTTATTTCGGTAACGCTCAATTTTTTCTGTATTGAGAACTTTTCAATCTTAATCTCTATGCATAAGTAAAACGCATCCTCGTGAAATTTCTATTCAGATACTATTAAACACGAATTTATGTCAAAGTTTAATATATCCCGAGTTTCTTGTCAAAATTATTTCTCTTTTACGCGTGTCACTTATAACACATATATATTATTGAATAACACGATAAATATCCTCAATTTATTCACAGAAATCTCTTCTGTCTGATGCAAATGTAATTACGTTGCCAAAATTGCTTTCTCCCGGGTGCCGAATTAATTTCCCGCCTCCACAAAGTTAAATAATATCCAAGAGATTTTACCAAACGTGCAATTAAGATCTTTTGCGCGGAAGATTAAGACTCGGACGTTCTAATTGCAAGTCTCTCTCTCTGTTAAAACATCAGCATTTTTTATTTCTACTTAATTTAATTCTTCCGCGCTGAATCTGACGCGAATCCCCGATGCGAGTCTTTCTTTTTTGCGCTGTCATTCTCGCCACCGATCCGAATCGTTCTTCTGTTTTGCGCTAATTGCGCGCTACCTGCACACACACACATACACACACAGCAGAAAATCTGATTCTTATATTGATTTTATCTCTAACTCTAATTTTCAATCTCTAGCGAGAGCTCCGTAAGTCGGATAAGTCGATTTCTTTTCTGTTCCCGACTGCGGGATCTCTTCTACTCCGAATTCCGCTAATTTCGGAAATGTCAGAACTTCGACGTCTACATTCGCCCCAGATTTGACAATTTTAATCGCACTGACGATTCAATTGTCAACTTTAATAACATTAATTTGGCAACTTCGTCCGGAGTTCGCTCTCGGATCTTTTCCGTCGAACAGGGCAACGACGTCACAATGCGACGAACGGCTTCTCTTCTTGCCTTTCGCGGATGTACGCGAAAATTGATATTTTTTATATCGCCTTAATTTTCTTTTTCACTTTACATTATCAAATAAGTCTGGAAAATTAATTAATTTGGTTATCTTATTGTCAAACTGCAATTTTTTAATCTCCAATTTTTCCAAGTTCTAGGAAGACAAAGATGTTCGTAACTTGGAAAGAATCCTTTGATCATTTTTCTTTAGCGGTCCTACGAAACGCGAATTTTCGGCGATCTCGTCCCGGAACTTCCGCCAGATCGGCGGTTCTGACGATTTTCTTGCCCGATAATCTCGCGGGGGGGGGGATAACCGTGTCTTGCAATAACTCGAAGCTGAAATTAATTGGACATCCTCTTGTAAACTGCCGTTTAGTTTCTTTACATAGTCTCTCCACTTGACTTTTTTTTTTTAGTCTTTTACTTCGCTCTCTCCACTTTATCGTCTCTTTTTCCTCCGCTAAGCTTTTTCCCGTTACTTTCTAAGAGAGAAAAAAAAAAGAATTATTCCGCTACCGTTTATAGCGTCGTCGTCGTCGTCGTCAGCGCGAGAATCGATATACGTTACCGATATTACCTGTGACGTAGAAGATCGAGACGCGACACTCTTTATCGAGATGTCAAGTCGACGAGATCTTGTCTTGCCCGTCGTAATTATCGTGAATTATCAATGTTGCTTCTTTTTGTTCCCACACTGATCTGTATCGGAGATTCCGTATAAGATTCTCGCATTAGCAAATTGTTTTTTTTTGTGTTTAAAATATCGACTGCGCGTATAACGATCTCTTCGCGAGGACACTTTGAGGATTATTTTGATTGAACTAAATGTACTTTTACAAGGCAAAAACTAAACGGGAGGGTATTGTGTCTGAAAATAAATAATAGATATTTCTCCGAGAGAGCGCAAGCGCTCACGCGCGCGCGAGAAAGTTCTCGTCGCGCGGCCGCTCGATATACGTCGGGAAAGAGAAATAAAACGTATCATCCCGTAAAATTGACTTTCCGAAAGTTCACTTCTAATCAGAGCGTGAAGTGATCAAAAAACTTTGAGTATTAATAAAAGTTTGTTCGCGCGGCTGCTGGGATCGCGAAAATCCACATATGACAGATCGCCGTGGGATTATCGCGATTTTCCCATGAATTCCCAAAGCTCAAAGAGAAATATTTGCGAGACAGACAATGATATATATACACTGTATATCGATGGTATCCAAGCTCTATGCCTTGTCTTTGCCAGGAACTAAGGATGTTTGCGGTCACTCGACGATACGTATAGCGAAGTTTATATCGTATCGCGGTCTGTGGATATAAGAGTAAATCGTGTTATCTCCGACGGTTATCTTGTCGGGATAGTTCGCGAATTAATCGTTTGCCCGAATTTTCGCGGTGTTTGATTTCCGATTTTAAATCGGATTCGAAAATAGATTTAAATCACAATTGATGGTGCCGAAAGATACGATTATACGATGAAGATCGGATGAGATTTAAAAACTCACTTCTCTTTTTTTTAATCTGTTTCTCCGAGCGGAAGTGGTAGTAAATTCACAGAAGTCGAATTTTGTTGAATCGTGAAAATATCAAAATTCTTTATCTCCTTACGTATAAATCTCTTTCTCTTTCTCTGTCTCTGGCTGTTTGTTACAGAAAAATTATATTTTCCAAGATGAGATTGAATTAAACGCCGATGCGCCACAAGATGCTTCTTATCTCTGGTGTCTGGGTGCTTGTTTTTTAACGTTCCCATCGATTTATCTACAACGTGTGAGGAACTGTACGATTGAATTACTGTCATTGTTGCCAATTCAAATACCAATATTAGCTTTTCATCGTGCGATGTATATAATTCATTAGCAACATTGTGTAACAAATGTTAGCGCCGATATCAAATATTTGCGAGAAAATATTACATGTACATAGTCAAAACACTTACACACGTCGTTTGAAAAAGTAGATTTTAATTGTTTTACATCGTAATTTGTGTTGACAGAAAAATGAATAACCTTTGGAACATGTTCCTTACATACACCTTCATTATCAAACATTATTTCTGTACCTAAGCTTCTCCTCACGTACGAACTTGTGTTTTTAAACTACGTTGACATCGTTTTTTTAGACTTTTCGCCTCATTACGGAGTTAGCAATAAACATAACGATCGTCGAAATTAACATCGTTCGTTCGTTTCCCTCGGCTTTAACATCGACGGGATTTCCGCGCGCGCGATCGTTCCAATCGCCATTCCTTTAATAACGCTATTACGTTCGACGGTGGAACGCGTCTCGCTATGGGCATCCTTTCTAAATCGATCCAGCAATCGCGTTTCCGTCGGAATCGCCGGAGTTTCAGGAATACTCGGACCGATCGCTTCACTTGTGTGTGCGCGCGCGTCCAACTACCGATACTTTTTAAATACAGCGAATACCGGCGTCGGTATTCTAAGCGCATTGCTGCTTTTTACCTTGTTCCAAAAAACAAGATGCTCGACAAATATTTATGTTTTAACAATTGATATTTTATTTCAAATTAAGTTTCGCACATTTATTTCGCGATAATTACCGCCTGATCGTAACCGTGTTTTTTCACTGGTTTTTGGCTGACCATAATCGACTTTTTCTACTGAACTGATTTATTTTTGTAAAACCCACGTCGTAAACGCGCAATACTCGCCTATCTTTCAAAGGTTTTGCGTTCGCATCTACATTTTAGGACAAGATAACGTTTTATGAATTTATAAAATTCAGATTAGTATCAATTAAGCCAAAAGGGAGGTCACGTCATTTGAATAAAAATAGTCGGCGCGTCAAAGGTCTTTGAATTCGAACAAGTTCGACGAGCGTTTCGGAGAATCGAAAGCTTTTCGACGTATATGGCGACAGGTCTATTAAATTTTAAATGACCGGATTAAATGCCAAGGCGCGCACCGCCACTTGATATCACGGACAAATATCGCAGCGGGGAAATCTTGTTGAAAAGAAACGGTTGAGTGGCTCTTTTGAAAGTCCATGGTTTTCGTAAAACCGACCGCTTTAATTTCCACAATTATCGTTTATTATTGTTGCATATATAAACGGTAAATTATTGTATTTCTAAAATAAATCACATATACGTTCCATTGCATGAAATAATATCTGCCGTTTAAAATTGCTTTATTTGGAAATTTCAAACTGAAATAACGCAAAAAATATCTGATTTCAAATTTTTCCATATTTTTAATTTTCTGCCTTTTTCGTCGTAAAAAACCAAAAAATAGAACGATCTGTTTTTCCGCGCTGGCGTTGAAGAGGTCGCGATCCTCGATAACCGGTTCGCGAACTTTGCAAAGGCGGCGGCAACGGGCAGTTTTATTCATGGAGTGTATTACGTTACATATTCAGGAGTTACTGACCGACTGTTTCAAGTTTCCGCGAGAAACTGCCGTCGCTTTTTGGACACGTGAAAACACGATGTTTTCACAGAACGCACGTAGTAGTCTCGGGGCCGCGCGTGCGGTCGGCGCAAATAAATTCTCTCGAAAACGCGAAACCCAATACGAGGAGGCGTCCGAAACCGCTCCGCGCTACCGCTGCTGGTCGCATCGATTTCTGTGTGCACGCGCTATGCATCTCTCGTTTCGACGCTGACTTTCGGCGCTGCTGCTGCCGCTCCCGCGCCGGCCGCGCTCGCTGCTGGTCCGGGGCGCTTATTATTCCACAAGCCCGGTAATAACCAAATTAACGCTATACACGAATTTCCGATGCGGCGCACGTAGTGGTGCGCGGCTTACACCGACGCTGAGCAACCCCTCTTCTTCCCCGTAGTAAGCGCCCCGAAGTTCGCGAGCTCGTCCTGAGCGATCGCGCAGGGTTTTGGGTTGCTCTCTGTCTCTCTCTTCCTGTCTCCTTCTTCCCTTCTCTCTCATCTTCTCTCTCTCTCTCTCTCTCTCTTCCTTTCCTTCTTTCTCTTTCCATCCTGTCCGTGACGGAGAGAGAGTTTGGGTAAGCGTTCAAGGAACTAGAGGAGCATTATCCCAGCATCCTGCTGGCACTGCTATCCAAGCCTATGTTCGTGTGAGTCATCGCACATCGATATCTGTACATGTGATCAATGGATAAGTTCCTAACGACCCTTCACTTCGTGTCGCTGCCGCCGCCGCGTCAGTTGCATGTGCGGCGAATCGATCGCTGCACGCTGCATGTGCAACACACAGCGGGGATTCTTAGTCTTAGCATCGGGAGGGGTGAATGCGAACGTTATGCGAGTGATCGAGTCGAAGCAGACAGAAAGCGGATGGTTGTAGAGCTTCATTTTGTTTCTACCCTATTCCACGTATTTCTTTCACGAGGTATATATCGTTTGTACGTAAATGTAATCGATAATCGTCACGTACCAGTGACGTACGTACATGTGTACGTATGTGTGTCTGGTAATTTGTACTTTGGCATTCACACAAAAAACCGAAAAAAAAAAAAATGCTTTTTGCAAACTTTCGGAGAAAACTCGATTCTTCGTTCAAGTTTTGAAATGAAAGTTTTGAAGTCGTGAAATTTACCGTTAACATTTAATCAAAAAAGTGTATTTATTTACCGCACGTTCTACTTGCTCTCGCGAGCAAAAGCGAGGATCATTATCCCTGCGTATGCGGGTTATATTCGAATCTGGACTCGGTAAATTTAGACTAGTTCCAATTAACGATTTACTTGATGAACGCCACGTCGAGTTACTGCAATTGCGGATACAAATGCGCGCGCGCGCGCGCTCGCCCGGCTTCATTAGCGTTCCATTTTCTTTTTTAATTAGCAGAGTAATTTGCTACATTGGGGCGAAAGAACTGCATGTTCACGCTTTGTTGTTTATGAACAATCGGTTGCGTATGGTTTCGACAGAGTTAGACGAGACGTTATAGCTTGAACCGAGAAAGTGGAGCAAAAACTCTTCATAACTGTCGCGCATTTACGTACAAAAGTTACTTTATTGGATTTTATAAATTTGTTGCATTTTTTTCCCGACAAACGTATCGATAGCAATACAACACGCGCGCGCGCGTATGTGTGTGTTGTAATTTATTCGTAAATAGTCAGTTTTGTTTTGTGCGATTTTTCGTTTTAAAGGATCGCGCGCGGGTTCAAAAACCAAAAACAAATCGGCAGAAAACAAAAATGATTACAAAACTAACCCGCAGCGTGCGAACGTTCAAAGAACGATATCAACTATCACATGTGACTAATTGAAAAAGCGCAAAAAATGACAAACACAGTGTAAAATCTCGAAATTCGATGATTTTTTTTCCCCGGGCACAAAGCGAGTCGAGCGAACACAATTCCTGCGTTATCTCGCTTATTCGACATTTCGAGTTTGTTGTGTTGAGTTTTTATTTTTTTCTCAAACAAAACCTGACCGACCGACCGACCTACCTGTACCGGGGTTTGCAGAACTCAACTCGACGTCGCCGTCGACGAGCGAGCTCGGCGAGCTCGAGAGCGACGAGGCGAACGCGGACAATGACGAGGACGCGGTCGAAGACATCCTTTATATGCGCGGTGCCACCTTCACGATACATCTGGACGCTCCGGCTGAGAATTCCACCGCGAATGCGACGAGGATAAACGAGGAGAGCGGCGCGGATCGGATCGAGCTGCGCACCACATCACAGGTAACATCGCCACGCCATGTTTCCCCCTTCTCTTTCTCTCTCTCTTCGAGTTGGTTTGTCGTATTGCTTGCATAAGCGTTTGCAACGCGTCACTCCCTGCTATTTGTTACGTGGAAAAATTGCGGCAAAAAATGCCGTAAGAACGTTAGAAACAAAAACTCGATAAAAAAAAAAAAAAACGCAACGTAATAAAATCCACCTCGAATCTTATCAGTAATTCTTGAATTCGCGTTGATAGTTGTTTGCGTTCGTGTGTTTATGCATCAAAACCGAGTTCCAAATTTTCAAACAAACATTTGGTGAGACCGCGTCTGAGGGACACGGTTAATAAACAACACGAAAAATACAGAAAGTGACGCGCAAGAATATCGTTTCAAAATACGAGTATATATTTCTGAGAGAAAAACACGGAAAAATATAGAAAAACAATATTATATTTGCTCTACGTATCTGTCGTCGGATGTGTCTCTCTCGTTTTATCTTCGCGACCTTTGCCAAATAAGTTGATTACTTCTAGCTTTGTGTTTGATTCGCCGTATTAAAATCAACGGTAATTTTTTGCGTACGAAAAGCGAGAAGTGAGATACGCGCGCGGTCGCCAAAGATACAAGGTACGTCAACACGATTCACGGAGTTGACTAACTGGTACGTAAGCGCAAACACAGTTCGGTTGACCCAGAGGAAACGCTCGATATCATACGTGGGAACAGTCAATATCGCAAGAACTCAACTACCAACTCCGAAGACTTAATTGATTGATACGTCCACGTGCTGTCCGTATTCGGGCTAAATCGGGAGAGAATCGATCCAGCTTCGTCGTCGTCGTCGTCGTCGTCGTCGACGTCGTCTTTGACACTGCGAACAGAACATTCGCAGAGACGTAAATGGGGTATGTGCGAGATCTATGTACGATAGAAATAGCGATTACGTGAAATCAAGACGACCTAACATCTTTGACCTCGAACTTCTCCTTCGAACTCAAATTAATGATCGCGTCACCCAGCTAAAAAGCTGCAAAATATAGTTTTACAAATGATCAAAAGTGTCCGATGAGGGTTTTTCAGATAATAATCCGACACAAGAGTCTCTCTCGTACGTATAAATAACGCGTTTAACAATCCCCGTATAATAACATTGAAAACGTTTAATTAAACACATAGAGAACACAAATATAAATATTTTTGGATACATATATATAAATAATATGTGTATATTTGTGTGTAATTTTAATAAAATACGCAAAATATTAAATGGCAATTGAACATCGACCACACTCGTTGCAAATGAATATTAACACTGGTTTTTATGCGATCGGTTACAAAGAGAATATTATTAAAATTCAATAAAATTAAATTGATACGTAAATGTTGATATAATATATAATATCGCGTTAACGCGCTGTGTGTGATTCGCACAGAGCAAAGTTCGTGAGATTCGCGAGAGCTTCTCTTCGACTCGGCGCGATAGACAAATAAAATTTATCATTTCGCGACGTTTAAACGTTAAGTATTATTAAGAGGTACGATGCCTCTCATACGCGAAATTCATGTAATTGAAAAGTGAGGAGATTTTTATGGGGAAATATCACGAGAACAATTGAACCGATCAATTTCGTTTTAAGTTCAATTTAGTCTCAATCGCTTCGGAACAAAACATTAAAAAAAAAAAGTATTGTTGCGTTTTTTTGTTTGTGCTTTTGATTTGGAAATAGGCGACGATAAAGTTTTGAAGAAATTCACGTTTTCAGAAAAGTCATTATTATCGTCGTTGTGCGACCGAAATGTGTGCATGTTTGTAGCTTGCTAACAAATGGCATACATGTACGAGCGCGTTGCAAGAAGAAAAAAGAAAGAGAGACGGGAAGTATGAACGTCTTTAAAAACGTGACTAAAGTAAAGTCACGTGACTTTAGTCAGGTAGTTTTTTCTTTTTTCCCTATCACGTGACTTTACTTAGTCACGTTTTTAAAGTCACGTGACTAAAGTAAATTCACGTGAACTTAGTCACGTGTTGTTTTTCCTCTTCTTCCTGACACGTGACTTTACTTTAGTCACGTGTCTTTAAAAACGTGACTAAAGTAAAGTCATATTATATACGCGCTGTCGTGCATCCAAGTCTTCCGATCTTTATTCAAAAACCTTTTCAAATAAAAAACCAAGAGTAACGCAACAGGTACTTCACATCCGCTGCAGCGCTTTCTTTAACATGCAGCAGACCACTCCATTATTTCTGAAAATTTTCTTGCCCTTCCCCGAATCGACAACAGCGAGCAGAAGGATCAATAAATGATGAGAGGCGCATGTCGAGAAAGCGGGTCGACTCATAAATAATATTCAGTTTTCCCTCTCTTTCTCTTTCCCTCTCTCTCTTTTCGGCTATTTTACATAGTTATCCGTTGTTGCGCTCGGATAGAAATATGTGTGTATTGTATCTCATAATTTTTTTTTGTTTTTATCCGTGCTCTGTGAAAGAATTAATTCTATTATACCCATAATTAGTCACATTCGTGAAGAATACGTCGTGCAAGCGTGACGCATTCTCTACGAATGTGACTAATTACTGGTCAATTGAGATAAATGTGACGTTGTGCTAAATGCGTTATATATAGTATTTTCTTATCTTATGATAAATGACATTACTGTAAAAGTTTTCCCTCCCTCCTGCGCGCAACGTACGCAGAAAATTAATCTTGCGTTTTTGCATTGTCGCAATGTCGTCTTAAAATATCGAGTGTCATTTTTTTTTTTTACACGCGAGAATCAATACGACGAAGTTAACTTTCTGAGAAAAAAGGAAACTCAGGTATATAATGATGCTTCTTCCGGGAAATGTGTATTCAGGGTCCAAATCTGGAGCAAAAACTGCCATCAACGATGGAGAGCATAGTGAGCACCGAGCCGGCGTGTTCTTTGGACTGCGGACCGGCTGGAAACTGTTATATCGAGCAATCGCGCGGGGATGAAGTCGATGGCGAGATGGAAGACGACGGCGCGGCGGATCTCGACGGCAACACCGTGAATCTCAGAAGAAAGCAGGGAACGTTCAGGCAGAGATGTCAGTGTCCTCTCGGGAGAGGCGGAGATCGCTGCCAGCTGGGTGAGTAATGCTCCTTATCTTTTTTTTTTTTTACCTCACAGTGCGCAATTTTATCTGTTTTATGAATAAACGTCAGTTGGTGACGAACATAACAACGTGAGATGGGTCACGAATGGCGCATTAAAAGCGTAGATTTCTTTTTCTTTGCATTTGAAAAAACAAGAAAAATTCTACTTAATTCTAAAAGGAAAAAAAAATGTATTTTGCTAATTAAGTTTTATAAAGGTACCAAAAAACTAAAGTTTTATTCTCAAAGGTGTATTCTTTGGTCTGTAGGATCGACTTGAGAAACTTGCATGTTGTCTTTTTTTTTTTTTTCATTTCCTTTTTCTACAAGAACTCAATTTATAATAAGAGTAAAGATACATTATCAAATATGTACATTTCTTTATGTAAATAAAGACTGTAAACAGACAGAGAAATCAAATAGCTTCAGTTTCTTCAAGCGATCTTACAGAAGACGCAAGATTCATCTTACGAAAAGTCAACTTTAATTGTAACTCGAAAATTTAATTTTCTCCCGTTTCTCCCCCAAAAAAGAAATCAATTATTTCTGTAAAAGTGTGAAGATAACGTTATCAGACGACGCGTGCGTAATCTTTCATCCCCCGAACAACGTCGGAACGTAGAAAACACATTCAGAAGCACGAAGTTAAACTCGATAAACAAGCGAGATCGACGCAAAACGTCGGCAAGTGATTTTCTCCGCGAGAGTAAACTCGAGAGAAGCGGGTCCTTCAGAAAGAGAGAGGAAGAGAGAGAGAGAGAGAGGGAGGGAGGATCGAAGAATTGAAAACTTGCTCATCATCGGTCGCTCTTTGTTCTGTTCCGCGCAAAACTTACAGCATCCAAGTCGAAAGAGTACTGTGTTTTCGAGGTCCCGGGAGTTTCCGCGCATTCGACGCGATCGGATCTGTTTGCACCTGTCTGCTTCACGGAAACTCCCAGGAAACTCGGTGTGCGAGACCTCACTCACTCACTCACTTTCTTCCCCTCTCTCTTAGTAATCACAAACTTTTAACCCTTTGAGATGCCCGCTGCGGCTCTCCGGCAAATAACGTTAAACGTTCCCGGTCGATCTTTGGCAACTCGCCAAGTCTCGAACGACGCCGATGACATACACATGAAACGTAATTTCGACATCGATGTGTGTCCACGATTTCGAATTACAAATTGACGAAAGTTATGAGAAATCTTTTTCGCAATTTCGAGTTCGCGAATTATCTTCAGACACGAGAGGGAAATACAGATCGATTTTTTTTTTTTTTTAATTTTTTAAGTCGATGAAAATGCGACGTTGTCAGTCCAATACATGTATAAAATAATAATTGAATACAGAAGAATGGCTCAAAGAGAATGTCAAATGGGTAACGAAATATCAGACCGATAATGGAATTTCTCTCTTCTTCTCTCTCTCTTCTTCGATGCACTTGATGAATTTACTTAATCAAGTTTTTACACGGGCGCGTAAAACTTGCAAAAACATTTCGTCGTTATCTCTCTTTCTCTCCTCTCATCACCCGATAATCCAATCTCTGTCTGTATACACCGCGCGAATCCTGAAGATATAATGTGTAACGATGATCCTCAAAGAGACCGCGCACGCACAGAGACCGCCAATACTTGAGATTTCGAACTGTAAACCGAATGCGAAAGGGAAAAGAGAAGGGAGGACGCGCTTATTTCGAAAAGTCGATATACCTACTTCAAGATTATCGATGTCAAACTAGTAGCTGGAAACCCCGGGCTCAGCCCCGGTTTAGTTGGAACCGACGTGCAGTATATCGCTCTATGCAGATATCTACTTTGCATATTGACATTTCGCGCAAGAGAGAAATTTACCCGGGATTGACGTAACTTCTCAGGATTTTATTGGATGTTGTGTAAATTTCAATTTCGATGATTTTAAATAAAGTTAAGTACTACATATATCTTGATCGCGCGCGATAAATAAGGATTATATCCTCGCGCGTAAACCGCGAATATAACACGTGTGGAAGCACATTTCCTTCCGCGTGTTTGGCCGCGGTATCGATCTTTGTTCCGCGACTATGAACGTTCCCGAGATGTACGGATTAAGCTGCTCGATATTCGGTTTAATCTTGCAGAGTGGTTTATATTGCATCATAGGATTGCGTGGGGATTAAGCGGCGGAAAAATTGCGCGATGAACGGTTCCAAGTACGTTCTGTAACGTTTCCCGCGAGCGTTTTGCTTGCACGGTGATTTTTGCGCGCGCATGATGCGGGCCGAATCGCATAAGTTATTATCGATACAGCGCGTGCAAGCATTTGCGCAGGTATCTTTAGAAATGTGTGAGCAGTTCGCGGGGAAGAGTTCGAAACAAACACATCAAAACGATTAACGTTTTTTTTACACACGTAAAAAAAACTCCAGATCTTATTTACTTATTTTTTTCAAAGGATCACACACTTCTGTTTTTTTTTTGTTTTTTGGTTTTTAGAAAAAAGCAAGCAAGGTGTAAAGTGAATCCGCGTTTTTTTCGCGACATAAAGCACTTTGCAATTTTATGCATACAAATGCGCGATTATTATGCGACGCATAATTAAAGAAGTTGGCAACAGGTCACGTAAAGGTGGTAGACGCGCGCATGATGAAAAATTACGTCGCTCGTGTTTGACGAAGTGATTCGTCGAAAATATCAACAGTTACGTCACAATATATCGCGTCGATTGCTTATGAAACCGATCTATCGTTTTAGATGCGGGATTATAGAGAATTCACGTGTGGAAAATATACGTAGACGGAAAGGTGCGATTTATATATATATATATATATATATGTATATTGTAATTCTGCCCACGCTCGCGTATGACGGTGTTATTGATACCTATTTCGAGAGCGACGGTGCTTACTAAAATACACACATATACACACGCACAGTGAAAACAGAAAACAAATGCTTTGAGAGCAACAGATTATTCATACGAAATGTCGGATATCCTTTCATTTTATGTTCGCCTCATGCTTCTGCTTTAAAACAACGCTTTTGCTTCCACTCCGGCTAAGGGATATTGTTTTGCTTTTATTTACATGAGTCAACAGCGATCTCTTCTATGTGTTACTACGATACGTGCTGGATATATTTACGACCGATACGTCACGTGTATTATTAACGATTGTAAATAACAATTACAAATGCGGCAATAAAAAAGAAAATAAAAAACTGATCATTAATATTAACAATCGCCGACATGAATAATAAAATCGAATTTTACATGAGTAATATAATATTTGTTAATATTTACAATTTCTGAAAATTAATGTGATATTTACATGTTTCTCGAAATGTTCTATTTTTATATTATTTTTTTAATTTTATCATTTACATATTAAAACAAACGTACGTGTGTATGTATGCAGTTACAATTAAAATTGCTCTAACAAGAGAGACGTCGTAATTAAAAGAAAGAAAATTTATTGCGGAAAATTGTCGATACTCGCGTCATGTATTTACCGCGTGAATTACATGTACGATGCGACAATACGAAACAATCCGATAGATCGTTACCGAGTTAATCTCTCGTGCAGAGGACGCGTGCAAATCAAAGGACATGCGACGCCTTGCGCTTTGAGCGCCGCGTCACCGAAGCGCGTGTTTTATATATTGACTCGCTGTACGGGATTACTCGTCACCTTGTTATTCTGCGTGGTCAAATTAAGCCTCGCTGAGCGGCTTGGGGTAAAACCGCAAGGTGGGCGTTGCCTTGCCGGTTTAATTCCGCTTGCGAAGGTTTAAAGCAAACGCGACCTGCAAACCAAGTCGTCGCCGTTGATTCCCTGAGCAAGATCTAACGAGCTTAATTTATTTTACCAACGCGACGCGAGAGACTTCCGCGTTTCCCATTACACATGTAAATATTTCTCCGATTGCGGAAACTTTCGTTTTCGACAAATCCGCGGCGACAAACTCGCACAAACTTTAGCCAAGAATTATCGATTGCCGTTAAAAATTTAATAAAACAAAAAAGAGCACATCGAGATTACGAAGGATATCGCATTTCAAATCTCTCTCGCTCTTTCAAACTGTTTTGTCGTGCGATGTCACAAAGAAAAGTCACAAAGAGAAGAAACGTCAAACTAAACCTCGGAAACGATTACGCTCGTAAATACATAGAGTTGTCATGACTCTCGTTGACGTATTCTCGCGCGCGGAATTAAGATGGGACAAAACAATAGGGTCCGGCAAAACGGGACGACTTAATAGTGATAAATTTCAGGCGCTATTCGAGAATTAATGCGAATGCGGCGGCGGTGAAACGCAAAAAAGGCACGAGAGTGTAGCGCGGTCTACTTTTCACATTTTTTTTAAGCACGAAAATAGTATCTCCGACGAGCTTATCCGGGAAACAAAAATTTACTAGCGGCTGCCGCGACGTAAGTTCAGGCCGCTACATTTTAATAGCGATACATTATACGGACTTTTAATATTACAGAGTGCAGCTCGGCACTAATTCCGCATCATCCGTCCACCATCGCGTGAAAAAGAAAGAGAAAGAGAGAGACGGCACGGCGGCTTTGTCATGATTTATGTCATGGTTGAATCTGCGCGCGATGAGTGGAAGAATTTATTTTTTTCGCAGCTGCCTCTCTCTCTCTCTCTCTCTCTCTCTCTCTCTCTCTCTCTCTTTCATCCTCGTTTGTCCTCTCCGTTTTCTCGTTACAAATGGACGTAAATCAAGGAAACTTCCGTGTCGCCGTGCGGCCGAAAATATCCGTTTCCCGGAAACAACAGCAGTTTGCGTTTTTGTGATAACTTGAATAGCAATATAAAGTACGTCGAGAGACAAAGAGGAAGGGGAAGAGAATTATTATTTCGCGCATTAAGTCTCTCATTGGTTTCTTAATATAATAGTTTCATTAACCGCTGCGCAGCGCGAAAGAGAAGGCTTTTGTAAAGCTTTGTAGCGCAGTAATTTCTGCGTGACATCGCGCGTTATCTCCGTTATATATTATTTACAATATTATGCAAATAATATA